GTCTTTTACTACTTTTTTTCAGGAATATGATACAAATTTGGTTATACTGCAGATAAAGATGCTCCCAACGATGCTAAAGTACAGAAAGCAAGGGAATTTTGGTAAGCGCAGACTTTTTGTAGTACGTATATGAAAGCATCGCTTTTTAGGGGCAAACTGTGCATGTGTTGGCCAAAGAATAGTTCATCATGCCACATGGTTACACTGGCACTGACAATTTGACATGGCTCCGCTGGCTCGTTTGTGTGCTCACAGTGTTTCCGTTAAGATAAAATGCTTATGTTTTCATTGCAGGGATTGCTGTTTGTACTAGAAAGCCAACTGCCAAGATTTGTTTACGCTGGTGCTCCTAAAAGTACGCTTTCCCTATTTACATGGATTTTGGCTTGCACAAAGCATAACACTTGGGCCTAGATTCACAAAGCTGTCCATGCGCAGGCTTTCATAACAGCGTTTCTTGAGTTGCCTTTACCCTGTTTTCTACAGATGTTTCGTGGGTTTAAAAGTGCCACTGCATGTTGACCTCCCCCACTCCGAAAAATTCACGTTCAAAGCTCTGCAAGAGTGGGCTTAACTTTCTTGTGCACCTCCTTGCTGTTCCAAGATCCTGAAGTGTTATGCTCTTACTAGAGGTGGCAGTGCTTCTAATGTTTGTATTTCCATCACATTGACCAAGTATGCCATCTTGGCTTGACTGGTAGCACATCCTCAACAAATGTCTTTGTGGACACATGTAGAAGGCAGTACAAAATAAATAGGTAGACATTCACACCGGGAGCAAACTTCTAATAATGCTTTTTTTTTGGAAACCACGGTGCGCTTATTTCAATTTGTCTAACAAAGCAGTAACCTGTTTGGCTGTGAACCAACAAGACGTTGAACTAATAAAAGCTTCACATCTTGTTTCTCTCAGATATATATGTATTGGCAAGCTATCTGTGACACTGTCAAACAAAGAATCGGAATATCTATGCATGCCTTAAAATATATTGCTTTGTTCACATATCTCGTGGCTGTGACTCATCAATTGAGTGAACAAATGCACCCTAGTTTACTAAATTCAAAGAATTTTTTGAAGGCAGCACGCTCTACATTTATTTGTCTATAGTTTTGTGCAGCCGTTTGTGTCAGGTACAAAGAAATATACTGAAGATTATCATGTAGCCTATGCAAATGGTTGCTTTCAAGCAGGCTTTGCATGCTTGGCTTGTGCCTGCAGGTATTGCACAATTCAAGACCCAGCAGCGTATGATAGAACAGTAGAATCGAGAGCAACTATGTGTACGAGCTAAATAAGTATTTTAACATGAGCGGACGGTACGTGTTATTTGCCACACACATGATCTCACTTAGAATGCCCATTGGTGAATGGGCTCATAGAAATGTCACTCAGCTGTGTATAGGAAACAAGTTAACTGAACCTAAGGGTATCTTTAACTGCTACAAATGTGCCTTGTTGAGGTGCTGCACATTTTTTTCCAGAATATTGCTGCCTGAGACATCATGTGAAGAGCGTCTACCACGTCAGCATTTATATGGCTTGCTAAGTAACGTTTGGCCGAACCTTCCTTTTTTTCACATTTCGTTTTGCAGTAGATATCCTAGAATGTAAGCGATGCTGCAGTGTGTGTGACTCATTGTTATGTATTGATTCTGGCATGTTTAACCTCACACTTCTATTTTTTTTTCTTGCAGCGATGAGATGCTTCCCATATGCCGGCGGTAACATTCCGCTGCGCTAGCCTGATGTAAACACCAGCTGCGAAACTTGAGTTCTTCAGAATTGGAGAAGTTGCCCTTCTCTCACCAATGATGACACAGACTGCCCCACGCTAGGAATTCAAGATTGTTTTTCCACGGATGACGCAGAAAACCTTTGATGTATTATGGTGCTTGTTTAGTGCTGGCTGTGGTGTGGCGAAGTCTACTTTTACGTGTGCTCACACGTTGCCTCATAAAAAGAACAATAAAGCATTTATCTTCCTTTCAATATTGTCCACTTTTTGTGTTAGAAGCACCAAAGCAGTGCTCTTCCAAGGAGCTCTCGCCATATGTTAAGCGTGTGACAAGCATACTCGAGATAAATAGTCATTTCCCCAAGGAGTAACTGGAAGCATGTGCAGTTGGTTTTCAGAGAGTAACTGCGAACACGTGGGAGGAACGGTAAAGAGTAACCGTTGGTCTTAGGGGAGCAACTGGTGAGAGTAACTGTTGGTCTGCAGGGAGGAACTGGAGGGAGTAACTGTTCATCCCCCGAAGGATGAACTGAAAGGAGAGCAACAGTTCCTCCCCTGCAGTTACTCCTTTTAGGGGAGTAATGGGAGTGGCAATGCAATTGCTCCCTGAAAGGAGCAACCCCTATACCCCCGTTGCTCTCTTTTGGCTTAGAGTGTAGGGCATAGTGTTTCTTAATATACACTAGAGGGAACTCTGGCACTAGTGTCTGTGGAAGCTGCAACACACGGCGCTTCAGCGAGCATTAGAATTATGGGTAGTACACACATTTGTCTAATTTTTGTACTTCTGGCCTGCTTCTGGCTCTGTGTGTGTTCGTGTGGCTTGGAGTTCTTTTTTTTTTACAAAAACATAAATTAGCAAATTTTCACCGTTAGCGCTTCACAACCTTATTCTTTTAGGCTTACCATTTCGAATGAAGTCACTAAGTTTAAAATGGTTCGTTCTTTCTTTCAAAACAAAACCGTAACCAGCAATAAACGAAGCCGCAAGGACGATTCGCCGCCCGCAAGTACGAAGACTAGACAAATGTGTGTACTACCCATCACTCCCATGGCCGCTGAACGATCGCAGCGCCAGAGTGCCCTCTAGTTAATTTTGGGAAACTTTATGGTCATGAAGATGGCATATTAGACACTTTTATTTACTTTTTAAAGTTAATAAACAACGAATATTACACGCAATGAGCGTCCAAGAACAATTCAAAGAGCGGACGCCGTGAAGACAGTGAGCAGACGACATGGCGTGGATGAATACATGTCGACGGGCTAATCACCTTTCTTATTGGCTAGGGGCCCTGTAGCCTTCATATTACTGAAGGGAGCTTCAGAGACAGAGTACAGAGTAAACTATACCACCAACAGACGCTTCCACTCGAATGCTTCTTTGTTAACAGCTGCACGTGCTCCTTACGTTCTCAATTCGGACTCAGAATAGTGCATTCTGTGTGACAGACACACAAGCCGTCCAAAGCATTTGCTTTCAACTTGTGCACAACTGCAACGCCACAGCTATAGTTAGCGCGATTTGTTTGTCACGGGGTGAATGAGTGAGTGAATGAACATTAATTAATTCTAGCAAAACGCTACAAAACTCCCGCTGTCTCGCATGATTATCCCTGCAAATGAACTGACGGCGCCGATAGGTCTATCCTGCCTGCCCGATCGCGGCCACAATTTGGTCATCAAAGATGGCACTTCGCATGAGTGTGTCCAACTAAGGAACGGCGAATTTGGGTTGTGTGACGTGAATTATTTATACCTATACTTCAGCGTTAGTCAAGAGACATTACGTGTAGAACATCGAAGAGCGTGGGACATCAAGCACCTTAAATCTGGGCAAGCGCGAGCTCGTCTCTCCTGCTGTTATTGGCACTGAGGTTTTGTTCCTTCCCCGTATGTCTTGTCTACGTCCTCCTTTCACTATAGTAGTAGTTAGCTTGCAAGAGTCAGAAAAGGTTCATCTGCGTCCTGACGAGCTTGGAATGAGGCAGCAGGCGGCTGCTTCTCTACTGTAAAGGAGATTATAATCATGCGTGCTATTAGCGCCTCTGTGTCCTGGCGAGGGGAACTCGTCTGATGCGAAAGTAGTGCGGTAGGTGAAGCCATGCGCAGCCTCATTGACCGATTCGTAGAAGTTCGCAGTCACCACCTCGATCAACGTGACACGGGGAGTTAACCAGAAAAGGCCGGGTAACCAAAAGCAACTAAGATGTATCAACATATCCGCGTGTATTTCAAGACGATTCCGTAGTGACTGTTTCTTTTCTGGTTCATCCTGCGGTGGCCGCATTCGCGATGGAGGCGGAACTGTTGTAGGCCCGTGTGCTCAGATTTGGGTGCTCGTTAAAGAGCCCCAGGAAGTCAAAATTTTCGGAGCCCTCCACTACGGCGTCTCTCTTAATCATATGGTGGTTTTAGAATGTTAAACCCCTCATATCAATCAATCAATCATTTTCTGGTGCATACAATCACCAAAAAGGCGTCAATTTCCTAATCTTCTACGCGTTCGCGCTGTACAGGAATGTGAATGCCGAAAATAAATAAGAAAAGGTTTTTAATGCGTACCAATCTCAATTTATCATTAAAATCAGGGAAAAAAAAAGCTTGGGTTGCTTTCTGATTCCCACTGCCGGTGGTGCGCTGTCATCGTTTCGACGGGAGTGACACCATGAGGCATGGCTGGGTAGGTCGCGCAATTCTAGTGGCTTGACGTCACTGTTGCCATTAGTGACGTTGATCCAGCAACAATGCAAAGGACACTGTTGCGTCTGCTTCTTTTTTTTCCTCCTCAGCGAGAATCATTACAATAGAGTTGAAACAACGAATACTTTTGCCCATGATTTATATCGCTTGTTTGTCATTTGTGCTGGCTGTTTCTAAGAAACAAATGAGCTCCTCGAACACTCCGATTCTTTCAAGTGGAATGGTGACACGCTGCAATGACTGGTTTCTAACTGTACTTGCCGGTGAGATGCTGTTTCTAGTGTTTTTTTTTTCTAGATGTGGGAAATGTGCCGAAATATGAAGACCTGAAGAGTTGTTGCACCGCCGGCCTTTGCTGGAATTACGACACAGAAGTCCAACATTACTATGTATCGTAACTCAAGATTTTACGCAGAAAATCAGAATATGACTGCTGCCTTTCTAGTGATTATAAATGTGGATGCATTGTTCTTGATGAGCTTTTGTCGCAGAAAAAAAATTGGGTGGCGTGCTAGCCGTCACAGTTGTTCATCGCAGTTTGAAATGCACTTCCTCACCCAGGTCTTTCTCAGCCAACCGTTGTACGAACTGCCCTTCGAAAAGTCAACTGAGAACTTGGTGCAGAATACTGCACAAGGAAGCAACGAGAACATCACAAGCTTGTTTGCCGTATTCTTCCGCCTGATCTCTGCGGTTCTTGGAATCCTGACCTTCGTGGCTCTCATAATATATTATGTCTTAATTGATTCGACATCCTGGACAACCCTTCGGGTAAGAGCCGTTTTTACGTTTAATGTTCCAGAGGAACGGAAATATAAACCCACAGATGCATAGCACAGATATACAATACATGCAAAGCGAAGCAGCGAAATGATTAATACTCAGCTTTTTATAGCAAGCCTTATTGGCTTTGATAGCATAGTCACGTCTGCACATGAAAAAAAGTGGTTGTTCTGGACGGCTTGTTGGTGACCTATTTTCCTGGCACTGTCTGCAGCGTGAGTAAACATTAAACTTGAGCTATTCCTCACGCTCATTTTGCAGTACTCATGGAGTGTCTGACTGCAAAAAGAGAAAAATTTATATGTGGTGACGAACGCTCTTTAGGTGTCGTGGCAATAGTTATACAAATTATAAAAAATTGAGTCACTATTAATATTAGCGATGAGATAATCGTGTGTGTTATGATGGGGAGTGCACGTTATTTGAGTACGTTTCATTTTTTACCATCGTTTCTTGTTTAGACACACCTGGAACTTTGCAAATTACACCGTTATATAGCTTAATGTTGATTAAAATTAAGAATCTTCGCCTTCGCACATACTCAGTTCTCGGCCACGCGAAAGAGGACAGAGGCGGAAACAACTATATAGTAACCGACTAAAACCCACTTTGCTAAAGAGCAGGGCATGAATGTGATACACGCGTACCAATGCACAACACCAGCAGTTACCCTCTCTACAGATATGATTTCCTACAACTGTATTTAAAGGTCTCTTGCGAGCGAAACACGGTACAGTGAACGAGAATTTTACAGTTAGACCAGGCGGTGTAGCTATGTCTTGTGTTCCCGATCCTCACCTTCATGCACACTCACATGCCGGAAGATCTCTACACTGAACAGGAAAGACATTCTTCCACGATGGTTCAAGCCTTCGCCAGAGGTGCTTGCTGTGTGTTCGAAAGAAGCTGCTGTAAGTTAGGTAGTGGTTATAATAACGTGCTCCGATCAACAGTTTTATGGTTCTCTACATCCCTTTTTCTGTCTGTTTTCCGTAGTTTGGTATCATATAAATTTGACTGCTAAAACTAGCCATGTCCTTTGGCACTTGCAATTATCACTAGCTTAGTTTGGCTTGGCAATGCAGTGTAACGGGCAAACGCATGATTCTCAGTGGAGCCATCACATGGGGCCAGCTCCCGGCTACATTATTAGCTCTGATGGGATTGAGAGCATTGTGCAGTAGCACACCATGGCATCGTACACTCGTATTATTTTTAATACAGAAATGTCTAATATAGAGTAATATACTGTATTATGTCGCTTATGTAGCTCAATGGTCTACCCAATTATTATTCTTGTGTTTAAAGAAATTGATTATTGTCGAAACGGTGATTTGGAGCTCCGAATGCGCCATGTGGCTACCGGCGGACTTAGTGCACAAATGTATGTAGGTTCTGAGAATACACAGCCATCAGTCAAAGTTCCGAGACTTTGTTGAAAAGACGGACGACGAAACAAGAGAGAACGTTGCCTAATGCTCATGAACGCATGAAAATCATGAGTGCGTTAATGCAACTTTTACCAGGAAACAAAAGCCATGGGAACTGCGTTGCAGTAAAGTAGAACTCATCCCGAGCAGCCTTTGGGTCGAATTGTGAAAACTAAGAGTCGTCCTTCTGATAATGATTTGCTAATTGGATTTGCAATTTCATCGCTTGCATGTGCAGCACTGAAAACCTGAACCTTTTAAAACTCACAGACCTTGAGGGGGTACAGTGCAAGAGCAGAGGAACTGTGTTACTCTCCTCAGAGTTCTTTTACTTCGTGATGGAGTAGGTCAGAGTTGGCCGCGGAAGATACTCTTTCGTTGAATGCAGAGTAAAAGATACTGCGAACTCTCTGCTACTCAAGTGAAGTTGGCAATCTATGCAACTCTCGTGCCGATGAGGCGTGTATTAGAGGTGGCACTCCGTCCTTGCTGCGGAGTACAATAGAGCGCTTGCATGTTACACTAACGCCGCAAAGCAACATAGCTGTGTTCTAACTATACGCCTCGGCGTAGAGCCTCAGGTGTAAGTTTAATACGTCAAGTAATAGAATAGCTTTCAGTGATAACTAAAGCATGCTTGTGTAATCAAGAACGCTCAGTTTATGATCACACAAGCATGCTACCACTAACAATACCTTTGAAGCAAGAAACAGCGGCAACATCTTAAGCGTCGCCAAAAGTTAGTTTACCACCCAAACAAATTGCTACGTGGGTAAGGTAAGTCTCAGCACATATCGTAAAAAGAAGTTTTAAAAAATTTACGCAGCGGGGTTAGAACTTGCCGCCTACGTATGACGAAGCGGGTACTCTACCACTACGCCGCGTTTTGTCATGCTCACTGCTGTGTAAAAAAAAAAGCAGATCCCACCTGGAGTGGGAATCGATGATATGCGAAGCACGAATGAGAAATGTTGGTCTATCACTTCAAATTCAGCTTAACGTTACGAGGTGGAGGTAATTGATGCCGTACATGACTTCCGTGTCATGATTATCATATTTATAGGTGTCGTTTACCTCCATCATCTATTCACGTCACGTGATACCAAATTTACTATATGTGAACCTAGCGAAACAGCGACGAGCATGCTAAGAGAGCGGTGTGTTGTCATGTTCTTATATAACACCCGTGTCAGGATTATCATGATTGCACCAGTCATATATTTCGTCACCCGTTGACGTCACGTAACACCAAATTTGTTATATGTGGAGCTAGCAAAACAACCGCGAGCGCGTAATGAAGGGCCCAATATACTTTAATGTAGCATTGATGCGCGTGCAAGCTGGGCACTGTGACGTTACGTTAGGAAAACGCGAGCACTCCATAGTCTGACGCCAGGCGCGACCAGCGTCCTTCGGCGCTGCCTCACGGCAACCGGCGCGAAATTTGACATGCTTCATTTCGCGCTGATGCGTTACCCTAACAGCACTGCGTCTCCTTCTTTTCGTGACGGAGGGATGCCGGACGCGCTAGAACGCGCATGCGTCAAAGCAACGCAACGCGGCACGCGCCTGCGAGCATATATGGCAGGACCGGCGCCTGGCGTGGCAACGCCGGCGAGATGTGACGAAATGAACACCCGCGAGCACACGCACCACGTCACGTCGAAATGTATTGGCGCCTTTACTGGGGCATGTAGTCTTGTTCTCACATGACACGCATCTCTTGATTATTATGTTTGCACCAGTCAGATACTTTCGCCATTAATTGGTGTCACGTAATACCAAATTTGGTATATGTGAAGCTAGCGAAACGGTCGCAAGGGCATCATAAGTGTGTAATGTAGTCATGTTGTTACATGACACGCATGTCGTGATTATAATGTTTGGATGTGTCGTTTAGCTATATCATCCGTTGGCGTCACGCAATACCGAGTTTGGTACATGTGAAACTAGCGAAATGGCCGCGAGCGCATTATGAGCGTAGCATGTAGTCATGTTGTTACATGACACGCATCTCGTGTTTATCATGTTTACACCAGTCCCATACATTCGTCATCAATTCACATCCCGTAATACCACGTTTGGTATATGTGACGCTAGCGAAACGGCCGCGAGCGCATTATAAGCGTGGCATGTAGTCATGTTGGTACATGATACGCATGTCATGATTTTCGAGGTTGGGGTCTGTCACTTTGGTTCGCCATGCAATCATGCCATACCATACCAGTTTCTCAACAAGTCATGTGAACGAAACAGCCGCAAGAGCTGCAGGACCTTGAAACGTAAATCATGACATTAATGAGATGCATGTCATAATTTTCATGTTATGACTTCTTAAATTTGTTTTTCATACAGTCATTCTTTGCCATACCAAGTTTGGTATCGATACCATTATCGAAACGTCCAGGAGAGCTAAAGTTGTAGGCGGCTAGATAAATAGATAGATAGATAGATAGATAGATAGATAGATAGATAGATAGATAGATAGATAGATAGATAGATAGATAGATAGATAGATAGATAGATAGACTCAAAGTCGCCGAAGTTCGCTAAGAAATGCTTTGCACTTAAAACTACAGTGAACTAGATTATGATCTAGTGGCGCGACCGGCTTGGCTACGGTGTCAGCTTTCACGCGGATGCCACCAGGTGGAACCGCTGCTACTTTTCATGTGAAATATACGTGACGACTAAAGGTAACAGGAATGCAGCAGTCATGAAAAATAGGGCACTGTGGATATACAATAGGTATGATGTTGTGAGAGGAATATGGAAAGGGGTCATGTTTCTGGGCTGACGTTCGGTAATGCGGTCTTGTGTATGAGATCAGAAGTTCAAGCAAGATTAGTAATTAAGCAACGTGGATTAGGTAGACTTGCTTTAGGAGCTCACGGGAATACACCAAATCAGGGAGTACAAGGTGATATGGGATGGACATCATTTGAGGGCAGGGAAGCTAGCAGCAAGATAAAATTTGAGAGGCGATTGAGAGAAAGGGGGAAGAGCGTTGGGCTAGGAAGGTTTTCAGCTACTTGTACATGAAGAATGTCGATACAAAATGGAGGAAGCGAACCAGGAAGTTGACTGGTAAATACTTAGAAAACAGCAGGTGGCCAAACCAAAAATAACTATCGGTTAAGAAGAAAGTGAAGTAAACGGAAACTGACATGTGGAGAATGGGCATGATTAAGAAGTCCACACTAGAGATCTATCGAACTTTTAAGCAGGAAATTGCCAAGGAAAGGATCTATGATAATACTCGGGGTAGTTCTCTACTGTTTGAGGCCAGGACGGGAGTACTGCGAACCAAGACATATCGGGCCAAATACAAAGGCGTAGACACAGTATGCAGTGCGTGTGGAGAGGAAGAAGAAACTGCCGAACACTTGATAATGTTCCGTAAAGGGCTTCACCCTATAGTTCAGGATGATGGCGCAGAGTTTTTCAAAGCACTGGGGTTTAGGGACCGGGAGAGCAAAATAAACTTTAAGTGGGTAGACTTAACTAGAAGGAGGTTATCTGATTGGTGGCTAAAGTCAAGGCACGAGTGAAAATTAA